CACACCCATGTTCAGCACTCCCGCACCTCCCTCCCTTACATAATTAGGGAGTCCTCCCAGTTTGACCAGGCTCCAACCCTCAGAAAATGAATGAATCCTCTTAGATGTTATGTATGACTCTTCGCTCTTCGCTTTCGCTCGGCTCCAACCCTCAGACGGTGGCTGGCGCGTCAGGCTCGGTGGTCACCGTCTCAGCCGCAGGGGCCTCTTCCTCGGGGCGATGTCGCGTGGGTCCAACAGTTCAGTCGCAATGAAAATGGAAAAAAAAGAAAACGGTCGCAAGAGGTCCACGGTTCTTTTCAATGGACCCCAAAAAATGGATCTACTCTAATTTGGTGGGTGAACATGGTCTGCCGATGTGACTGTCACTTCCAAACAAAGAACTCCGGGGACTGGTCTGGTCTTCTCCATTTGGGAACTGGCATGGTTTGGAGTGCGCCCCTCAGTGCGGTCCTCTCTGTGAGATGAATTGGATTGAAAAAGACGAGGACTTCAAAAGAGGACTTCCTGTTCTGGTTGCAAACCGGGTTAGAAACCGGGATGGTAGATGGTGTGGGATACAAACTTCAGAAGTGTTCCATTGTGAAGAGAGTGAAGTGTGAACAAGTGTTGTCCACCTGATGTGTATCTGTTTCAAGCAAGACCCCGGAACCCCATGGCCGTTCTGTTCCTTACTGTAGGTCTCTGAACTATGCCTCGAAGTATCAAGTAAGCAATGTCAGTTCACCGATTCCACGTGCTTCGCGGACCCTCCCTGGAACAAAGCAGACCAAGCCGAATCTGATTGAGCAAACCTCCTTGGCCCCTGACATGGTGTGGGAGCCCCCCACGCGCTTCCAAAATCTTCTGCCGCCGCCGCTGGCGCTTGGACAATGGTACCTGCCGACTCGGCTTCTTGCCGCTTGCCGCGTCTGAACCCGAAGGACCTAAGGGACCTTGCCTTCACTCAGGATGTTGTACCAAAAAAACGCAGCTCAAACATGTTCTACATGATCTTGCAAGGGGAGGGAAGTCATGCAGTCGTCCTTCGTTCCCTTCGGTCGGATCCGGAGCTCTTCAGGTCCGAACGCTCCGGGTGTGAGGAGGGGTCCAAGGATTCTTAGAGTGGATTCAAATGAATAACTTCTTGGTTCCATCTTCCCATCTTAGCCAGGCACAAAGCCTTTTATGGTGTATCTCATGCATTCCTGCACGGTCCATGTCTCTTGCTTGTTCAAAAATTCCTGGAGCCTGTGAACTTGAGAGGTCCCTGAAAAACTATCCGCCAATCTCTGCATCTCCAATGACTTTCACCATGCACGGAACTACCTTTCAGGTGACCTCCATTGCAGTAAGAGGCTGGTCGTGTCGGCATCAAGGCAGACTGCCAACGGCAGAATCAAATGAGCTGGAGAACACCTCACTGAATTCTGAACGTCCGGCTGGCCATGCCATAAATCAAGGGTGTCTCCCTCAGGCGACTTCAAAACCCAAACGTAGGTGGTAGGTATTGGTGGTGGGTCGCTATACTTCGCTAGAAAATGACCCCTGCCACTAGGTAGAATTGTCATGAAACAGTGAGAACCCACCAAAAATGGAGAGCGCAGATTTCAGATAACTTCAAGTCTCATTGACCACCAAAAAATGATCTCATACATGCCTAGAGCCCGAGGTCAGAGACTCAGGCTCTAGGTACCCTGGATGTCTGCCTTCTGGATGCTCAGAATGGCATGATTTCAGGATTGAGAAGGCAAATATGTAAACATATACCAGCACCTTCATGTCGGGGTCACCTGGCTGGCAGCCCCAGCCCACCACTAAGGGACCTCCAGCCAGGACACCCCGTCCTCGCACCAAGCCGATCCGCCGATCCGATCTGCGGCCGGCCTCGATGCCATCGTCCGTGCCCTTGCGCTTGAGGCCATCCTGGCCAAGAGAGGGAAACCACGGAAGCTACTAGGAACCCGGGCATCGCTACTAGTAGGGACGCTACTGGCCTTACTACTAGTAGCAAGAAGCTACTAGGAACAAAGGCCACACATCTGGAGCCGGGTGATGCTTTCGAAGCCCGAGGCTAACATCTTCCGGGGGGGGGCACCAGGGCAAGGCTTCTAGCCACCAGTCCTCAGGGGCCTGGAGTGTTTTCAGACACGACCTTGTGAACTGGGCGTCTAATGCTTTGAGATAGCAGTGCCTCAGGTCGGGGATATTGAGGATCTTGTTTTGCTATGAGACGATTCAACAACCAACCCATGTCCGATGTCGGACGCATCGATGTTGGGCAACCCACGTTGTGTAGGGGCTGTAGGGATTCACCCTCGTTGGTACACCCCGCTTTGCGGGCCAGCTTTCATTTTGTTTTTGGGATCTTTGGGCCAATAAAGGCGATGGGTGTTACAGTACCAACCCCACCAGAGCCACCTGTTAATGTTTTGGCCCCTGGCGAAGGCGACCGAGGATGCGGCAAACCCTGTCCGTTGGCCGCGCGGGACGTACGCGACCACCCGCCTGTCCATCGCCGGAAGTCCTGGGGGCGTGGCAGGTGTGGGTGCCCCAGCTGTGGTGAATGAAGGACTCTCCAAACCACCCGTTGGGGGACCAGTGAAAGGGCCTGTCCGGAAAGGCAGTCGATCGAAAAGGCAGAAAGGAGAGAACACGGATGAAGAAAGTGACGGATGAGGTTTGTGTGGACTTCACTCTGCGTTTCCACCTCAGGTTCTGCGTGTTTTCGCCATACTTTCTTCCATGTGTGGGGATAGGAAAAAGCCGCCCAAGATCCCTCCAGCTGGGTCCCCAACTGAGTCAACCAGCCCAAAACTGGTCCACCGACGATCTTCGGATGGCCCAGCTGAGTCCCCAACTTCTCATCGCCCTCCTCACCAGGCTTCTCTGCATCTTTCTTCGCCTTCTCCTGCCGTCTCCACGCGGCTTGCCGTCCCCCACCACCACCTATCAGCTTTCGGGCGTCGAGATAAATGAACTCCCTTGGACCATGACTGAAGTACCCAAGGAAATGGGAAACGTTGCCTTTTGGTTTTCCCCCCGGCAAAGAGAGCGTGCGTTCCATTTGCCACTCGACCAATCCGAAAGAATGTCACCCACCCCGGAGAAGGAAGGCCGTCGCCCTCGTGTGGCCATTCGCTTCACAAGACCGTCCTTGATGCTCGCGCCTTCTTCCTGCACGGTCGCGAGGCGACGGCTGGGAATCGGAACGCTGGGAAGCACGGAAGTACCCACACCACTCGCAACCTCAAAGCCTCCCGACGACGGATGCGGCTAAGACTTAGAAGCTCGTGGGCTCCAACTACCTGAGAAGGTACTTGGGATCTGTGCCAGGGAGGTCAAACTACCCTTCGAGGATGTGGTTGGAGCGGATTTCATCAATCTTTCATATACTGTATATACCTGAGATGCTATGGGCCGTATGGGGTCCCATATTGAGGAAGTCCTGTGCAGTCGACACGTTCGGCTTTGAATAATCGCTGCATGGCCTGCTCTTCTTCCACGATCCGGTAGCTGCCATCCTCAGGTGGTACGAGTCCGTCTAGCGGAGTCGTTTTGCATGTGGAGCATTTCGACATGTGGTGTGGAATTCCAGGCAAGTCAACAATCCCTTTGGTTGAAGCTATTTCTGGCAGAATCCTGAAAAGGCAAGTCTGTTCGTTGTCATATTGTGAAGACTGGGCAACTGAAAGCCTACCTACATGAATATGGAGCAATCCAAGACTATCCAATGCAAAACTTGCTCAAAACTTCCACCACTCAAGCGACATCCATGGCATGAAACAAGGACTTCTGGATTCAACCGTACCAGGACCCCCAGTCGGGGTGGTTCATGGACACCCCTCAACCTCTAAGGGGCTATTGATAGACACCCACCCCTGGTCCTCATCTCCCATTTACACTTCCCCAAGTCCCAATTGCAGATTGCACATCGCCCTTGATCTACTCCTTTGTCGCCACCCTTCACGTCACGTCCGCTCCAAATCTGGAAAACCGCAGGTGGTTGGATGGATCGTCCTCGCGCCTTCTCGATGATGACCTCCTCCACATCGGCAGGGGTCTCAGCTAAGACCTTCTGCACATATTTATCCACCTCACAGCTCCGAGCACACGGACTGTGTTGGGTTCCCAACCCTCGTCCCGCACCAAAAACATCGACCTGCACCTGCCCCGTCCTCCGTGGGGGTCCACAGCTGAACCATCACGACGTCTGACTGTTGATATCTGTTCATCTTGATCCCTTCGGTACTGCCGCCGGGCCGTCCTCGGTGAAAACACCAGTGAAAAACCACTTCCCCCCTCGGCCTACCGTGACAACCACAACTCTCGCGCCACGCTTTTTGTTGCGACTCTGGCGACGTTGGAGAGGGCCATTCCGGTGGTCCACCCAGTCGCAAAGAGGGAATGATGCATTCGAGATCATTCTAAGACAAGCACCCAACAGTTTAGCTGAGATGGAATTTCTTCGAAAAAACTCTTGGAAGACCACACGTCAGGAGTCGGTTTCGCTTGTTGGTGGCCCTATACCTAGAGGCTGCAGTCTTTGCTGCAGTCTTCGCTGTCGCTCGTGTGGCTGTAGCGAATATACCAGGACAAGCTAGGTCCTGTGATTTTACACAAAGTCACAGAAAATGTTTGTGCATAACATCGAGGACACCTCAAATCCTTAGCATTCTCTGTGGCAGGCAAGGACTGTTTCTTGGTAATAGGCCTGGGGGGCGGGGGCATATCGCGTTGATCCACTTCTCCATTCATCATGTGGATAAGCTTCCATCGAGTCCTCGATGAGTGGGGCTTGCCCCACATCCGGAGCTCCCACTTGTGGCATCCAATTCACTGACGGAGACAGAGCTGGTCACACCTTCACAGCCGGTCACACTCGCTTTGCATATGTGGAAGATTCACCTCCGTGCCCAGTGCCGGCTGCAGAAACACAAAGGACAGCCCAGGGAGTCTGTAGTTGTGATCCAGGAAACAATAACGAGGCAACATCATATTCCATGTCAGACTCGTTTTTTTTGTCTTTTCCATCTTCTACTGTCATTCAACACTCGTGGGTATATCTGTTCATGTCAAAATGCTGATCACCTTGCTAGCAGAAACTGCAAGAAAAAATGATATTCAACGAAAAGGTGAAAAAACAGAAGGTTCCACATACACTTAGTCACTAGCTGATGTCAGTCAAGTCGACTACCTCCGCTCCCCCACCAATAAAGCCCTTGTTCCGCACCCTAAAAAGGAAAGGACACCAAACGCCCAAAAAAAACCAACGAGGACACCTCCGACCTCCGGTCGACGACCGGTCATCAGGACGGTCATCAGGGAACTGCCTTGTTGGCTTTCTCAGAGTCCTGAGACCAGCTTGCTGGGCAGCTCTGAGAGCCTTCGGGCCAAGCTGGGTGGCTCGTCCTCCGACTCCTGACTCTCCATGGGGAGAAAGACAGCGGTGAGGTGTGGCAGGGGGATGACTCGGCCAGGGCAGACACCCAACGGCATGAGTGAAAGATGGAATTCGGTGCAAGAGGAGAATGAGGATTCAACAAAACATCGAAAGAGTACTGAGTACTGAGCTCATCCAAGTCAATTGAATTCGGTACAAGAAGTTTTAAAGAATCAAATAAATGGAAACAACAGCAACACCGGAAAAAAAAATAAAAGAAACACATCCATGGAATATGACTGGTCATGGCGTGACCTTAAAACCATCCTTAACACCCCCCAAAAAAAGAAATAAATTAAAAGTAAATACACTGAGCTGTGGTGTTCTTCTCTGTTCCAGGGACCCCAAAAACATCCCAAAAAAAACCGCCCGACATTCTCCCAAAAACATCCCCCCTCCGGCGGAGTCGGTCGTTTTCTCCTCGGAGTCGGAGCCCGAGGACTCGGTCTCCGACTCTCCTGGACCGGCGGCGGTCGACGCCTCCGGGGGGGGAGCAAGATGCCTCCGCGCGGGCGGGGCGAACGGGGCGGAGAACGGGAGCTCCGCCTTTTGCCCCCGAAGAGTTGGAGGGGTTGGTTGAAGGTTTGGAGAGGTTGGTTGAAAGGGTGAAGCTCCGCCCCAGGAAGGCGAAGATGGAGCGAATTTCTATGAAGCAAATGGCTGCTTTGACCGATTCAACAAGAATGTTCAACCATCAATAGTTTGTTCATTCCAGAGTCAGCGAACTCAGCACACGTTCCGGTCTTCAAGTGTTGCGGAATTATCACAATCTAGCGGTCCTTGCGCCAATTTGCGGTGTGCAGCTGTTTGTGGGAGTGGAAACCTGCACCGAAAGGACACAAATAGAGATTCTCACTGCCCCGGGCGAGAATTCATCTCTGTCTTCAGACATCAGCATGCAGCCATCGATACCGAGAACGGAAGCGCAGCAAAATCCCGATACTTCTTGGTTCTTTAGACCCCCAAGAAGATGTGAAAGAAGGGGCACCTCTGCCATTCTCTACCCAATCAGCACCCGCTCGGCGCCCAAAAACCTGGTCGTCACGTCCCTTCAGCTCCACTCTGCCTAAGTCCGATGGCGGGCTCTGTCCTTCCAACTTCCGGATGAGTTTCTCAACGGAGAAGCCCGCGGAAAGTGGATTGGGCACATAGATGTCGCCCTCCACCTCCACTCCTGGCAGCTGCATGGCTTGTGGGCCAGCCAGATTGGCTCTATGATGAGTGCAGGCTTGTGGGCCAGCACACCCTTCATAGATTGGTATGGCCCGTGTGGTGCGGGTCAGGCTGTCATGCGAATGCACAGAGCGCCAGCAGAAGGAGGAGGCAGAACAAGATCCGCATCCTTGATTCCGACAGTGTAGTCGATGATCGGTTTAGTGGAGTCCGGTAATTAGACAGAAATTGTCTCCTAAACAATGTTTTATTAATTTTTATTAACTAAAGAGGGGTCATATCATATCCATGTTGCGGGCAAAAATTACACCGCCATAGACCCCAAACAGGTTGTGTTTTCAAAATCGGAGCACTCTGCAACTAGAGTTTGCGACGTCCAGAGCTGGGAGACAAAGGAATGCAAGGCAAAGGCAGAAATAGCAGTCGAGAGCTGGGAGACACATGTAAATTTAAGGATTGCAAGGCAGAGGTGGATACAGCAGTCTAGAGCTGCGAGACAAATGCAAAGGATTTCAAGGGCAAAGGCGGACACAGCAGTCAGAGCTAAAAGACAAATGTAAAATTAAGGATTGCAAGGCAGAGGCGGACACAGCAGCCCAGAGCTGGGAGACAAATGTAAGGATTGCAAGCCAAAGGCGGACACAGCAGCCCAGAGCTGGGAGACAAGTGTAAAGGATTGCAAGCGACATGCAGCCCAGAGCTGGGAGACAAATGTGAAAGGTTGCAAGCGAGAGGCAGAGACAGGAATCCAGAGTTGGGAGGCACATGTTAAGGATGGCAAGGCACAGCCCAGACGGAGCAAAGGAAAGCAAGCGAGAGGCGGACACAGCAGCCCAGAGCTGGGTGACAAACGTAAAGGATTGCAAGGCAAAGGCGGACACAGCAGGTCCAGAGCTGGGAGAACACATGAATAGAAATGCTACATGGCCAGCGGAAAAGGGTGGACACCAACAGTGACAGACCTGGGAGACAAATGAATAGAAATGTTGCATCGACAGACCTGGGAGACAAATGAAGAGAAATGTTGCATACAGACCTGGGAGATTAAATGACTAGAAATGCTACATGGCCAGCGGAAAACGGGGGACACCAGCAGTGACAGACCTGGCAGACAAATAGAAGTGCTATATAGCCAGCGGAAAAGGGCGGACACCAGCAGTGACACAAAGGGCGGACACATCTTAAGAAAGAATTGAGAACCCCCTAACAGTAGACTGTTTGGGGAAAAAGGAGGATTTCGTGATTCAGCAGTCCCTCACAACGTCCAACCCTCGCTGGTGCCTAACCAATGCTATGTCCATGTTCAAAAGTGGGTGCCTGCCGGAGGTCGTGGTGCTTGCGAGCGATCGGCCCACCGCAGGTGGCCCTTGAACCGGGTCACCGAACACGGAGCCGCCAGTCACCGGGCGATGTATCTTCCGTCAAGTCCCCAAGTTCCCAAATCCCCAAGTCCCACCCGAAACAACCGCTCCCAACGGTTGGGAGCAACGGAGTGCTGGGGGCGGCCTGGTGTCTGCAAACCGCTCTTTCCGGTGCTTTTCTCCACTCACTTGAAGCACTCACCAGACTCACCCAGGCACAAAAAGAACACACCTTCAGCATCCTTCAGCATCCTTCAGCCCTAGCTACAACACCCCATCAGACGCCTTGTTGATGCTCCACCATCGCCTTGAAGATCCGATTCAACAAGCTCACCGAGACCGGGTCCGTGGCGGTGACCAAGCGCTCGATGCGGTTGCAGTAGGCGGGCATCCGAGTCTTCGTCAGAAAGTACAAGGCGGCGTCCGTGAAGGTGTTGCAGTTCTTGTAGAAGACATCATAAGTACCTGAGAAAGATCTGAAAGAAGAACTTTTGATGAAGACGTTTCATAATTAAGTACCTGAGAAAGATCTGAAAGAAGCATTGCAGTACCTGTTCGAGAGCTTGAAAAATATGGCCTTCCTGCATCAAAAAGAACCGCATTTGCGTCCAAGGACATGCGAATTTCGCACTCTAGACCAGCTACCGCGTGGGGAGTGCCGTTTAGGATTTGGGCATCCCTTGTCATTGTCCAATCAGCAGCACTGTCTTGGTGGGCATCGTTATTGTGCTGTTTTTTGTCTCGGGTGAAAGATGCTTGTCCAAGACCAACTTGCTAAGAGCACAGCTGAAAAACAGTTGGAAATCAAGTGTGGAAAAAAGTAGAAAAATATATACAGTATTTAAAAAATATTGGCTGGCTTGATAAGACCACATGTGGAAACGCAAATTGGATCGGGAATGAAGCACTCACAGTTCCAGAGTCTCGACTCGAAGGTAACAGGACCGGCCGCTTGGCACTGAAAGACGGAAAGCCGAACCGAGGAGAACAGCTCCAAACAGCCGAACCAAGGGTTTACGCGGGTCAAGCAGCTCCGGTTCTCCGCTTCTTCATCCAGCGTCAAAACGAGCGGCTCATCCGGTCTGGGTGTCCTGGCTAGCCTACCCTACACTTGCTGCCCCTCCCTTCGTCGCATCCCGAGTTGCCACGCTCGAAGTACTGGTGCAAGGCCGCCACCAGGTCCCTCCCGCTGTAGGCGCTGGACCCGATCCGCGTCACCACCGGCTCCTGGGCGAGTCAAACCCACCAACCTGTGAACTCTAAGCTTGTTCACCCATCCGAACCAAAAAACGAAGACCAGGTGAGGTACAAGTGGTGAGCTGCACTTCAGAGCTGCAGTTGAACCCCTGGACTTCTGTTGGACATCGTCAGGAACCCGGAGATCAGAAACTAGACAACGGTTGGCCCGAGAGCGAAGAAGGTGATTGTCAAGCAATTCCGAGTAAGGAAATAGTTAAAATCGAGTTGTCCAAGAGCCATGATTTCTTTATACAATTTCTTATTGAGTAAGAAGTTGCGAAGAAATTAGATATAAAATATTAAGAGAATATGTAAAAAGAGAGAAAGAGAGGGCGGATGTGAAGCAGGTGTGATATAGATGTGCAGATGTGTGGGTGTGTGGAGGTAGAGAGGTAGATCTGCGGATGTGAGCGTGTGAAGATGTAAATGTACAGAGGTGAGGGTGTGTAGACGTAGATGCGCAGATGAAACGGCAGTTGTGGGTCAGGAGCGCCAACCTTGGTGCATTTCTCGCTGTGCAAGCACAACGCTGAAGAGGTTTATGCGATATCGAAAAGTTCGACAGCACCATGTCGTCAACGATACAAGCAATCCCATGTTTGTGCAGCGAATTGTGTAAAAGAAAAAATCACCAAAAAAAGGCTCGGTACCAACATGCCGTGAACAACGCGTATGATCTCATTCTTGTACGGAAATTTGCATGAAAGTCTCCAAAGAAGCTTGGTACCAAAATGCCTTCAAAGGCAGAGACCATGCATTTTTATGCGAAAATCTCCAAATATATCAATATAAAAGCTCGGCGCCACGAGGTTTTTGTAAATAACATCGAACACTCTCTCAAGCCGAACATCGTCGCCAGAGCTTGCCAAAAAAAGACTCGGTACCAACATGCCGTGAAAAACGCGTATGATCTCATTTTCATACGAAAATTACCATGTAAGTCTGCAAAAAGAAGCTCCGTACCAAAATGCCCGGAAAGCCAAACACTAAGATCATTTCATATGAAAATATCCATATCTATTCATACAAAAGCTCGGTACCGCAATGGTTTTTGTAAATGACATCCAACATTCTCTCAAGCTGACATGCCGTCAAGAAGGTATATGATCACAATGTTGTATGAACAGTTTCCACAAAAACGAGCGGTTTCCACCAGACATTCGCAAAAAGTGACAATGAAGGCTTCCAAAACGAGGGTTTTCCACGAGACATTCGCAAAAAGTGAGAATGAAGGCTTCCAAAAAGAGCGTTTTCCACGAGACATTCGCAAAAACTGACACCGAAAGCTTCCAAAACGAGCACGGGACATTCAAAAAGGGAGAATGTAGACTTCCAAAACGAACGTTTTCCACAAAACATTCGCAAAAAGTGAGAATGAAGGCTTCCAAAACGAGCGCTTTCCACGAGACATTCGCAAAAAAAGTGAGAATGTAGACTCCCAAAACGAGCGTTTTCCACGAGACATTCGCAAAAAGTGAGAATGAAGGCTTCCAAAACGAGGGTTTTCCACGAGACATTCGCAAAAAGTGAGAATGTATACTCCCAAAACGAGCGTTTTCCACGATACATTCGCAAAAAGTGAGAATGTAGACTTAGAAAACGAGCGCTTTGCACGAGACATTCGCAAAAAGGGAGAATGTAGACTTAGTCCAAAGCGAGCGTTTGCCACGAGACTTTCGCGAAAAAGTGAGCACGAAGGCCTCCAAAACGAGCCTTTTCCACGAGACATTCGCAAAAAGTGAGAATGAAGCCTTCACAACCGACTATGTTCCACGAGCCTTCTCAAAAACTGGTCAACTTTACCCGCATTCTGTGCCACAAAAACTATGAATATACAAAAACGCAATCTCACCTGCATTTCGCACCCTCAACGCGCACGATCTCCGCAGAGGGTTGCGCGTGCCGAGCCCAAACCTCCAAAACGCAATCTCACCTGCATTTCGCGCGCTCGACACGCACGATCTCCGCAGAGGGTTGCGCGTGCCAAATCCAAAACGCGATCTCACCTGCATTTCGCGCCCTCGACACGCACGATCTCCGCAGAGGGTTGCGTTTCGTGGTGCTCCGGCGGCACCGCCCCCGCCTTAAGAGAGAAAGAAAAGAAGAGCGAGAGGATCCGCAGATGTGAGATGTGCAAATGTGAAGATGTGAAGATGTAGATGTACAGATGTGAAGATATGAAGATGTGAAGATGAGCAGAGATGTAGATGTGCAGATGTGAAGATGTGAAGATGTAGATGAGACGTAGTTCTACAGATGTTTTTTAGGAAAAACCCTTCGCAGACGCTCTCGGGAAAAAGACATGTCCGTTGATCCCTGTAAAATTCACATGACAACCCCGGGGGGGCCATTTTGTACCTACAAATCCGGCACCCCAGGTTCAACCCAACCAATCCACTATAAAATCAAGCCCCCAAAGATAGAAACCTTAAGTCTATAATATTGGGTTGGGGGCTGGCCATAGTGAGCTCACAGAAATTTATCAGAAAAGTGCGCTCTCTATAAAATCAACCCCTCCAAGTTGCCACCGACAGTCCAACAAATGCAAAACCTCATCCCGTTGCTTCCATTTCATGGCATGTCCATACAAAACCCTTCACGTGTCGCCTGTTCCGTCCCCCCCCTTCATGGAACAAAAGTGTCCCGGCTGTCCCGGCTGGGGCTTCGGAGTGGTCCGCTGGGGTGTCTGCTGGGCGGGAGGTCCAGGCCGGTCGCATCGATGTCAGGCTCTGGCGGCTCTGGCAGCATGTGGCTGAAGAGGGGCTTGGCCTCGAGGATGCCAATGGAGTCGAAGAAATACTCCTGATGGCGAGGGGCTGAGATGTCAAGGAGATGTTTCATTGGAGTCCTGTTTCAGGATGGAGAATAGCTTTGCCCTTGAGATTGGATTCAACATGATTCAACCTCTTCAGCCTCATATGTTTCGAATCGGACTTTCACGATGGGACCAGGTGTCGCCAGGTGACACAGGTGTCGCCAGGTCCTACCTTCAGCTTTTGGTTCTGACCCCTTCAGAAGGCCGTCTCCGGGTGGAATGTCCGTCTCCGGGCTCACGCAGGACATCTGGGGGCCGCCCGTCTCCTGGTCATCCACGATGACGGAGGTGTGGTAGCCAGACATGCCCGCCACACGGATGATTTCCTGAAGTCAGCCAGTGAGATTCTCAACGGACATTCCCGCGTGCACAGTTTGGCCACTGTCTGTCTTTCATGGCTTCAATCTTCCACCACCTTCCAAGTTCGGTGGTTGTTCGACACCCCCAAAGAAAACCTCTAAAAGGCTATTTTTATAGAATTTTATAGACACCCCCGAAGAGTCGGGTTGCAGATGTCTATGACTTGGAGAATTCTTGGACTCCACTGACCCATTTTTGCCTGCGAGACCCAAGGGACTGTGGCCGCCAGGCTGATGGTGTGCTGGCCTTCTTGGGCCTCCGAAGGCATGGTGTCGCGAGCGCCGGGGTGGAGGTCGCTCGAACCAACCAGTGTCGAACGCGTTGTTTGTTCATGTCTTTTACACTAAGGAAGAAGAGAGAAGCATATGTCACCACTGCAGTTGAGCACAGGGGTGGAGGTGATGTTTCTTTTTGGCGGGTTGTTTTTCTATCAAAGGAACAAACACTAGATGGGTTCACTCAAAGCTTGTGGGTGTCCTTCTCAACATCCTGCTGTTGACGGAAGAAGAAATGTTGCACCATCTGAGATGCGGAAAACCATTTCATTTGCCGTGTAACTGCAGGGTTCCAGGTGCTGCAGTTCCAGGTGCCATGTCTTCCGGTTAACAGCAAAAGCAAGGTCACGCAAGTCATTGAGCCAGGACCCCCCAAAACCTCCGGCTTCCAGGTGCACCTGTGACATGTTGGGGCTAAGGCTAAGGACAGTCCAATCCATTGAAAAGACCCGTGGAGCTACCATGAAGCATGTGGAGCTACCCACCATGCGGGACCATCCATGTGGTCTGCTCTCGGTCCAACCCATGAAGCACCCATGAACACCATATAAAGGTCCTCAAAGTCAAACACCTACCAACCAATCATGGGTCCATCATGGTTAACAGTACCTGCCAGCCCGGGCTTGGGGCGAATGGGCCAACCTGCAATCCAAGCGGAAAGCAAGCAACGCAGAATGGCCAAAGCAGAAGGTGAAAGCTGTCTCGTTTTGAGGCCCACGGTGGCCCACGGGTGCAGGATTCAGTTCCCACCCACCCTAAAGGGGATATCCAGCCTCAGGCATCTCCGCGGTGCTGGCTGATTGGCCCATGGCGTCCAAAGATTCTTCCAGGAAACCGGACCAACACAGGTTCTTTGACGTGCCCAGACTGTGGGGGAGACTTGCCCTTCGGGAAGAGCTGCTTTTGATCTTGATTTTAACAAGGAAACATGGATCAGTTCACTTGGTAGGGGAGTACCCCAATTCTTTAGAAACTCGCAAAAATGACCACGAAACTGCTAGAATCCGACTGAATTCCATTTGGGCACCCTCGCTCCCGCGGCACGGTTCGCGCACAGAACTGACCTAAACGGTGAACAGCGATCCCAAAACGATGTGATTCGAAGCCCAGTTTCTTTAAACAAACGGAGTGATTGGCTGAAGGTTCTCCATGACATCCCATGTTACATGTGGTGTTCCTCTCAACCGATCGGAGCCAATGTCCCGCCGCTGCCCGAACCACGAGCTGGGCCACGCGGAGCCAATGGGGGGCGGAGCCGATCTCCGCCGCTGAAGCGGCGATCTTCGGTGTGAAGCAAGCGAATTGAAGAGTGATTTTTTTGGAAGTCCAGTCGACTGTTTGAAAGTATGAATTCTGGTGACCTGAATTTCGGAATTTCCTTCACTCTGGTGCCAAATAGAGTCGGACTTCTAGGGAGATGTTCGTTTGCGGAAACCTTCACATGGCCTTCCAAACCACTCATGACCAGTTTGGGTGGCCTTCCGATGATCCTGAAATGGTCAAGCAAACGTTTGGAGGGCTGGTCGGACCTCTGAGACAAGGAAGTCCCCCTTTAATCAAAGCGTTTCGCACCATTTCAATCTCTTTACGCCTGTACTCAGTTCGTACTCGTTCGCTGGGTATGCGCCAGACCCGAACCCCAGAACTCCCACCAACTGTCACCTGCCAGGGCTCCAGAAGTCCGACGTATTTTTCGAAGAATCTACCCTGTACAAAGACTTGGCTATGTTGCTGCCAAAAAGACCCCTCCAAACCACTCGAAGCCATACACCAAGGCCCCACGCCACCAGATCGTGTGGCTTGAGCACGTTGCTGCAAACTGGACACGTCCACCTCCGCTTCGTGGAAGACTGGAGGGTCTCCTCTTTGGCTTTAACATTCTATATTGTGACATACATGTGACTTTCTCATTCCTGACTTGGATCTCTCTATTTGCGAGGTCTATCCATCTTTGTACAACTCAAAGACTTGGACTTTTGCCCCGCAGGACTGGCAGGACTCGGACGGACTCGCAGGACGGCTTCTTGGGAGCCTGTTGTTCAGGGCTCGCATCTTCAAGTTGGACTCCAAGTAAGCAGCTAGGCCAAAGCACTGCAAATGCCTGGCGTGACACCGGAGAACTGACTGACGAGTTGGCAAGGACACGGCAAGGCCCCAGACACTTCTGCTGCGAGTGGGCACGGACACGGACAAGGGCAGGAAGCTGATGTGTTCTCTTGAAAATCTTGAAAGTGGCCAGAGTCCAACCTCTATACAGAAAGAACAGAGTTGAAAGGTAAAGAAAATTGACAGAAGCAAAAAAGATGTTTTCTTTTTGGCCGCCAATGTCCTCCTCTACACGTCGGTTCATGGCAAGCTCTAAAGCAAGGTCTGAGAGCACAACTTTGGTAGTTCCTTCACGAATCCTGTAATTTGTTCGCTCACAATCTCTATAGCAATCAAGCTGTTCTCAGAGCAGTGCCGCCCCTTCAACAGGGACAGCACACTCCATCCATATCGCTCTCAAACCACCGGGGGTTCACTGGCCACTGGACTGGGCCATGAATGCTTTTGTCGCGCCACCGAAAACGGTGGGTCCTCACCGCTCCTGAGAACCTTGGGGCGTCCAACGACCCACCGGGTGCAGAAGCCAGATGTCTAATCCTTTGGGAAAGTCTGGATGAGAAAAGAGATCGACTTAGCACCACACCCAAAAAATCCCCTTAGGAAAACAAGGTTCACGGAAAAAACAAAAGGAACCAATGGAAAAGTGGAAGACCACCCACCACGGTGTTGTCTTCCGAACCATCATCCTCCCATCCACGGGGCCCGCCATCGAGAAATCAGGGGCCCACCATCCTCCGTGTCCTCCGGTTCCAGGTGAACCCGGGCTGTTGCCACCCGTTGAAGACACGCCCACACCGGGTGAGGCGTTGGTTTCAACGAGGCCCACCGGGGTCGGCCCACCCAGGTCGGTCCACCGGTCCAAGCAAGACCCGCCAAGCGCCGCGAAGGGACGCGCCGCGAAGACGGGTCTTTCCGGGAGGGCCCGTGGAGGTTCCAACTGGAACGAAAAACCCTGAGTGACCTCTATTGGGGATCACAAACCAGCCAGATGGTCAAACTTCCTAAAACCGGAGGGGGGACCCCAAGAGGCGCAAAAATGGCGCACCTGTCACCAGGACACGCGTGTTGGAGGGGTGCTGGTAACTCGTCTTTCCAGAGATCGGTTCGAGTTGTTCATCTCACGTTCTCGTTCGAATCAGCTCCTCAAACCCAGTTCACGCCATAGGCCTCGATTCTCGTCTCGCGTGCACGATCACGCTCCTTCCTCGCACGATCACGAACCTCCCGTCGCACGATCACGCGCCTGGTCTCGCGTGCAGCGATGGTCTCCCCCCGCGCCACAGGCTTCGCGCCGGACGGGGCTCTCACCGCGAAGCTCCCGGCGGTTTCACCCGGACGCGCGAACGGTTCGACCTCCCGCGTTCGGCCGTCTGCCGCCCGGGCGGCGAGAATAGCAAACAATGAGACTCACGAAGAGGATGACGAAGATCAGGGACCCCTTGGGAGCTCCGGAACGACGAAGAGGGGGCCTCTATGGTTGAAAAGGATTGGAAAAGGAAGACTGAAGTCGTTCATTGTTCAAGTGCTGCTTCCTCATCTCTTCAAAACTGTTGCGAAAACACCTCAATGCTGCGATAGGCAAAGCTACATGACATGCTCGACAACCGCGGGTCTTCGAACAACCGGAAACCCGTGGAAAACTGTCTGAAGGGTGAGTTGTATGCGAGAACACCCACACCCAGAACCATCCAAAAGATGCGTTCCACAGCTTGAGAACAAGCGACATGAAGAACTTCAGCAGGGCACACTGCGACACGGGGACGATGAGTAATCCTTTAGGCATTTGCTCGAGTTCGGCTCCTTTTTGCTCAATTATATAGACCTCTGATGACCTCTGAAGTGCCAAAAATGCAGCAGGTGTCTTCTTCAGGTCTCCCACTGTTCTTCCTGGTGCAGTGCCCCTTACTTCCAGCTCCCACCTACTTGTCCAGCGCGCCACGCGGTGCGACTTGCGGCGCTGTTTGGGTCGAGGGACGATGACCACCCAGTCAGTGGGGTAGAGCACCTCATCATTGTAGGCCTTGGTGGGCTCTGGAGCCTGCGTCGTCTTGTTGTTCACCACATTCACCTCAGGTCGTGGGTCGTCGTAGCACCTCGTGGACGCGGCGAACACGAACGAGGGTGGAGGGGAAGGCGTTTGAGGGATTCTTGAAGAGAAGCACTTCCGAAGGACACGCATCAGGTTCTTTTGGCGCCTGGGCCCAAAAAGCAGCCCGGGCGGTCATTCAAACCGGCCCTGGGCTACTCGTGAAACCGATCATGACTTGTCCGCTGGCGTGGTCACGCCGGGTGGCTGTGACGACCACGTTCTTGTCGTCCAGGATCTGGTCCACCATATTGGTGCTGCTGGTCGTGGTCAGCGTCACCATGCGATCCTCAGCGCGTCCCACGCGACGCCAGGATCGAGGGGAGTGGTGGTGTTTGTCCCTAACGCGTCGCAACGACTCGACGTGGAAGTGGAAGATGGATGAAAAGTCCGACCAACTGGAATGAAATATACCATCCTATTCCTACCTCTTCACCGGTTGTTTTTTTCCACAATAACCTACTCGTCTCTTCAGTGGTCTGAAAAATGGTTCTTTACGACTCTTCATGGATGTTCCACCTCGGATATGAGTGAGTCGGACTGGAAAGTACTACTTTTTGATACCTTATTTGATACCTCTTTTGCCAACCATTTAGTACCCACTCCTGGATTTAATTGTAGCAAAATTCTACAGGACAAATTCACTCAACTTGGATTCATGGACTTGGCACAGCTTGACCCAATCCAATATCACCACCACCACTAGATTCAACAGACGTGCTCCCACAGCCGCTGTCACAGCCGCAGCCGAAAACCCCCCCCAACGTCTACGTGGCCCTCCGCCGTCCTACGTGCGGTGTCCACAGCCACTCACCTTCACCAGTGTCCACACACGCTGTCCGCGGCCCGCCGACTCTTTGCAGGTAGAGACTCGGAAGCATCCAAAATCTGGACCAGCCGGGTATCTTCCATCTCCTCAGACCGGCGAAGACATCCCCCAAAAGGCGGCCTGTTATTACTGCAGAATGTTGGCAATCGCGGGTGACTTTCCTCTGAAGACATGAAGCCTTGAAGCCTTGAAGCCCTGCTGACGACCTGAAGCCTTGAAGACCTGAATCCTTGAAGACGTGAAGACCTAAAGCCTTCTGACGACCTGAAGCCTTCTGACGACCTGAAGCCTTCTGACGACCTGAAGCCTTCTGACGACCTGAAGCCTTCTGACGACCTGAAGCCTTCTGACGACCTGACGCCTTCTGACGACCTGACGCCTTCTGACGACCTGAAGCCTTGAAGACCTGAAGCTCTGTGTCTTCGTATCTTCGCGTCTTCGTGTCTTCGCGTCTTCGTGTCTTCGTGTCTTCGTGTCTTCGGGGCTTCGTGTCTTCGGGGCTTCGTGTCTTCGTGTCTTCGTGTCTTCGGGTCTTCGGGTCTTCGTATCTTCGTGTCTTCGGGTCTTCGGGGCTTCGCGTCTTCGCGTCTTCGTGTCTTCGGGGCTTCGTGTCTTCGTGTCTTCGTGTCTTCGTGTCTTCGCATCTTCGCGTCTTCGTGTCTTCGTGTCTTGTTGTTTTCTGATCTTCGGGTCTTGGCGTCTTCGCGTCTTCGCGTCTTCATGTCTTCGGGTCTTCGGGTCTGCATGACTTCGTGTCTCCGAGGCGTTATGTTTTCCTATCTTTGTGTCTCCGCGTGTCTTCGAGTCGTCGTAGCTTCGAGTCTTCGTGTCTTTGTCTTGGAGTCCTTGTGTTTGCGCATCTGGTCGCCTTCGTTCTTTGGACCCCTCGCGTCTCGGTGTCGTCTCAAGGGCATGACTTCGCAAACTCATATCCTCTTGTCTTGGCCACTTTGTGAATTCGAGTCTGGCTATCTGGATGTCCGGTGACGCCGAAGTCAAAAATACATGACATGACATGAGTGTATAATCTTGGAATTTTTGGTGGCCATTTTGACTGCGAGGCCACACATGATGACAGGTTATGCGCGACACTTCCAGGTTATGTGCATTTTTTTCCTCCAGAGCAGCGCGGCAGGGCGAAACTCTCTTCTTGGAAGTTTCCCGAAGTGTAGTAGCACATGTACCTTGGTGGAGGGGAGAACTGAAGCTGTGTCTGTTGATCAAAGCATGTAGAGTAGATCAGTACCAATATGCATCCTGTTTCTGCCTAGCGTACAATGACATTTTTTCAATCTATGAAAAAGACATTTGGTGGGCACCATCAATTCTTGCCTACAGGAGGCCACTCAGGTCATCCACAGTTGGTTGAAGTATAGAATTGTGTGTGCGCTTGTATGCGCCGATTCGCGACCCCGGCGCATGGTTTTTGATTGGCCTTTGTTGACGCGGTCATTCTTGAAGGCCCACGAATGTAGGAGCAGGTTGTCCTGGCGCAGAAGGCGCGGAGTGTTTGTTGGCAACAATAGCCAAGTACATATAGGCAAAGATTGACCACCATCATGAAATATTCATGAAATATTCGATGTGCATACATGTTCAATGCCTGGCCTTGTTTGTTGGGCCGATAGCTGGTTGATTCTCGGCTGCTTGGAGTCGTACATCCTGACAGGCTTGTCACAATGGGTTGCTGGTTTTTCTGTGGGCATGAGGAGAGTGCTGGAGAATGAGAAGCTGTGGAGGGGAACAAATGTGGAGCAAATTTGGTTATACTACTGTCTAGTGACTTAGGCATATGTGGTTCAAGGTATATATCCACACGGCTACCCACAGGGCTAGGTCATCTGTGCTCACACATCGAGCAATACAGGATGTCTAGGTGGGGAAACCTGGTGCCATAGGACCTTTGGACGCCTCCACCATTAAAAAAGAAGCCTCTTCACTGAACGTCTCATTTTCTGTGGATTGTGGTGGTTGTGGCCTGATGACATAGGACTTGAGAAAATGCCCATATTGGTTCAAGCCTGATGACATAGGCCTTGGGAATCGCCATGTATGTTCGACAAGTCCTAAGTTACTAGTC